AGCAGGACACAGATCTGGACCTCAGGTCGGTCACTCCATATTAGACCGGTGCAGAATGAGGCGCGGCGCGGTGCTGTGCTGAAAATCCATGAAACTCCCTCTGACAGGAACCTCCACGTTTCTAAGATCCCAACCTCCTGTCGATGGCGTCGATGTCTACGCGTCCTCACATATTCAGATCAACTGGGTCACAGTGAATAACGATGGACCCCGCTGTCACGGACGCCTGGTTTTTACCGACAAAATGGACTCATCAGAGTCCAGAACATGTTTCCATTACGTTCCACTCTGTCTCAGATGAGGGCTGGCTCACCGAGGCCTCCCAGCATTTCTTTGACAAATTGACGCGCGGCGTCTCTTTGCATGACACGGTCTGAGGGAGAATGAACTGACGCCGTCACCGGACGGTGTTTACGAAGTCGGGCCGTTCAAAAGACACCAGCCAACGGTCTCAGAGTCAGGGACGTTTAGACGGAAATATTTCTCCGATCTTGTAGAAATAACCTGCTTTCCTTTTACCGACAATTTTCAAGAAAAAGTATTTCTAAATTTGCTGCTCGTACTCTGCTTACTTCTGTTTTTTTCTATTAATATTTTATTCTATTTGTACTATTTCTGTACTATTTTTGTACAAACCAACGCTGTTTCTTATTACTCCTAATAGTAGGTAATAATCTATGTTAACATGTGGGTTCAGACCTGAAACTGTTCATTGTACTGTGAGTTTTAATGAAAAGAATGGATTTTTTTTTGTTTGTCTAAACTTAAATTGAAAAAAAAAAATCATTGAGCTACAGATTTCTCTTTAGGAGACACACGGTGGTGAAGTGGTGAAGCTGGTGTTTGATCCCTGTATAAATGTCTAAATCTAAAACAGCGGTCGTTAACGTCGCGGCCTGTGTCTGACTCCCGTGACAGTCACATGACAGTCTCCTTGTCCTGCTGTCTTTTCATGTCCCATCTGAGCCATGTCCAACGTCTTGTTTATAATTTAAGCCCCACGAGCCCATCTCAAATCGACTGCCCGTCTCTGGTGACATTAATGTTAGAAAGACGGGGAAGTGATCGTTAGTGGTAGAAACACAGAAGAAGAAAAAAAGAGAAAAGAAATGGAAGCACAGACTTGACATCGCCTCAGAGAAAGAGGTCAGGGATAAAAAAGGGACGACATGGATCCAGATTTAATTCAGAGTGAAGAGCTCTTGACCTTCCTCGCTGACCTTTCCCCACTTGAATATTTCAGAGCCCTGCTCCTAAACCTGGAAGAAGGGAAACCGAGCTGACCTTATTTAGGGCACCTATACTCCTGGAGGAGGCGTCAGTGAAGAGTTTGCTGTGCAGGAGCATGACCCTGGCGATGAGGTAGAGACGTAGGAACATGGGCACGCTCAGCACCATGTCCAGGTCAGCCTCGGCCTGCGACGGCGCATACGAGAAGGCCAGCCGCGCCCGCCACTGAAACTTGAAGTCGCCCGGCACCGGGTGCACGGCGGACACCAGCAGCTCCAGCGCGATCAGCAGAACCCTCTCCATGGTCATGGCGATGCGCCAGTCGTCCGCTCCGTTGTCGATGACGAACAGCTGCGGGGGCGGGAAGGGCAGGGGCAGAGTTAGGAGATACACGTGTTTTAATGCAACAGTACATCACGGCGCTCGCTCTGCAGCCACGCGGCTCCGAGCGGCACGGCTGACTGATCTGATGATTAAAAGAACCAAAAGCAATCTGAAGTAAACGTGGTTTTCCTGAGATGTAAAACACCATCCATCTAATCAGCGATCCATTCACTCTGCGTTCGGCGCCTTGGCTCCCGTTCATCAAACCTACAACTCTTGTCTGACTCAAATTAAAACAAAGATGTCGAGTCATTCCGAGCTGCTGCTCTGCACTGAAACAACCTCCGGTTTAATCACAATCAGATTTTCCCCTGAAATAAGACGAGCCACAAACTGAGGAGAAACTCTTTAATTCTACTTTTACTTCCTGAACCTTTGACTATTTTATTCCTAGTTGCTGTCTTCAGCACAGGGTTTTGGATTTTTTTTTTTTTCTTTTTCATGTCTGCTCTGGACTCGGAGGCACCAAACTAATGGTTGTTGTTGTTGTTGTTGTTGGGAGTGGGGAAGACGTTCAGATAAAAAAAATAAAAATCTAAGATTGGAGGATACAAATGAAAAGTTAACACATGTCGGCTCTTAAATAACATGTATCCATTTTCTTTCTTTACTGTAGCTGCTCCCTGTTTCAGTGGTTGCAAAATGTTTCAATTAATTTATAAATTCATTGATTCATTAATTAATAATTAACTAACAAATAGATATTTGACTCCCTGTAAAAACTGCAGTTTCATATTAAACTAACAAACAAAAATAACAAATTCTCCTGTTGGCATTGCTGGACCCCTACTGAAATTAATTTGTACCCTTTAGGGGGCGCACCCCTCACTTTGAGAACTACTGCATTGTAAAATTGAATCTTTTTCAAAGTAGGAAAATTGTACTATAAATCTGAGGTCTCCAACACCTGGTTCGGGGACCTCGGGGTGCAGTGGGACACAGTGAAAAAATGTACTTCAGTTTAGTTAAGAAAAAAAATCCAGTCAATATCCCTTTATCTGTCAATGTTCCAAAACAACAGGTCATTCAGACTCATTTTAAAAATGTTACGATCCTTTACTGATGGTGACGTGTTACTGTGGTCATTCAGACTCATTTTAAAAATGTAACAATCCTTTACTGATGGTGACGTGTTACTGGTCCGCAGTTACAGCTGACTCTGGTACATAAAGGTCAGGGAGCGCCGCTTCAGATGATGATGAGTTTCACCTCGACATCTGACATCATCTCATTATGTGACAAGGAAAACACAGGTGTCTGAGAGTTTTCTCTTTTTTCTTTTTTGGCTAGGACAGAACTGAAAACCCAGCTGTACTTCTAGGTGGATTCTGGGTCGGAGGAAACACGGAACTCCCCTCTCAGCAGAACCGTCTGAAGTTCTGACTCCTGCAGCAGCCGCTGCGAACAGTTTCACACCTGATTCATCTCGACAGCCTTCGGCCCAAGACGACGTTTATTTAGACGAGACAAACGCGGTGACACGGAAGAGGTCGAGCACCAGGAGGAGCCGCGGTCACGGCCGCCGTCACGGCCACGACGGACCAAAGCTCCTGGACACAAGTACCAGCTACTCACTTCATCATCACTGGTACCTGGTGCGGAGGGAAGGATGTGTGTTTCTTTGCTGCTGTTGTGACATGTGTGTGTGTGTGTGTGTATGAGAGGCCTACGCACATGCCTGAGTCACTGTGTGTTTCATCATTTGAACCAAGGGTCAAAAACCGACTGTAATTTTCAGTGATTTCTCTGAGTGTGTGTGTGTGTGTGTGTGTATTGTACTTGTGTGTATTTGTGTATGCCTGAATGAGAGTGTGTGCAGACCCAGCCTCAACGTGGTGACTGTTGCCAAGGCGACAACATCAAAGAGCAGCCAAGCTTAATTAGAATCCCCAGTGAGAGAGAGAGAGAGAGAGAGAGAGAGAGAGAGAGAGATGGAAAAGCAGCTGTAAGGAAAGAGAAAATGGAGGTGCAGACAACAGACAGAGGTGTGTGTGTGTGTGTCAGTGAAGTACACACAGTCAGTGAAGTACACACAGGGAAAGTCTGACACCCGTGTACTTTCTGAATTTCTGTGGTATTTTTCGTGGACTTTTTTTTTTTTCTCTTCTCCCACTTACGGACAGCAATCTGTTCATGCGAGACCCACCTGCCCGTCACTGCCCGAAGAAGTTAGTTTTTTCGTGGACTTTTTTCTTTTTTTCTCTCCCACTTACGGACAGCAATCTGTTCATGCGAGACCCACCTGCCAGTCACTGCCAGAAGAAGTTAGTAACCACTAGTTACCACTAGGGAAAAACCGTCAAATGTCAGACTTACATTTGAGTGACGATGCATTTTACAGTAAAGTTAGAGATTTTATGTAACGTTAGCATCTCATGCTAGAGTGATATGCACAACATGTTAGCATATGACGCTAATATCATAATATATTAGCATTTGATGCCAATAACTTAATTTGTTAGTAGATTATGCTAATGTAGCTTAACATGCGCAGTATATGCTAACATTGTCTCTGGATTTGCTAGAGACTTGTGTCGCAAAAACCTTTGAAAACCACCGCGATAGAGACCACCATAGACCACGATACAGCACGTTTAAATGACTCCATTTACTTGTTGACGACGCCACCTACTGTTCAGGATCTCATAAGAAGATTTTTACCGTAAAAATCTGAGTATTCGCTCAGTTTCAAAAATGAGCTGGGACTAAATAAAGTGCTTATTAATTTCGTCAGTTCAACTTTTAGGTCAGATCTCAGTCGACCAATCAGTGAGCCCCGTCTTCTTCAGTGGTAAAAGATGAATTCATTGTGTGTATAGAAATGTGTGACCCAGAAAAACAGGAAGAAAGAAGAAAGAAACCAGACTTACTGTACAATAGGTTTATACAACTATTCCCTCGTCCAGCTTTAGATCACAGTAAACGTGTGTGTGTGTGTGTGTGTATGTGTGTGTGTGTGAAACCACATACAACCATCAGCTCCACTGTCCCCGTGTTGTTCTGACTGCCTTCCTCTGTTTGTCCCCTTCATAACACCACTTTTCCTCCGTCCTCTCCTCGTCTGAATGACATCTCTTCAAATCAAAACAGAGCTGATCCATTTTCTTGTCACCGGCAGGAACGAGTGCCTCCTAAATTGCCATGAGGAAGGGATAAATAATTAAATTCCATTAGGAAAGTAATCTGTCAATGGGACTGAGTGAGTGCCACTGCCCCTCCATGACCAGGACAGAGCGAGGGAAGGGCGGGGGCGCAGGGACGGGGACATGATGGTGTACAGACGAAGCGGGGAATTTCTGGATGTGTACGGAGTGCGTTGGTCTGTGGACGCAGGAGGAACACGGTCCAACAGAAGGTCAGGGACCAGATCAACTAAACCAACGTGGACGTGAAAAAGTCGCCTCAAGTAAATGTAGAGGTTGAAATTATTTCTCGTCTTTCAGAGAAAGCGAGTCATGACCGGGCAGAAGGTGAAAGGAACCCGAGGATGACGAGAACAGGGAGAAACCCGGTGTGAGACAGAAATGAGAAATGTGTTAAAATGACAGGACCAGAGTTGGACTCGAGTCTCTCCACCGACGAAGGTGTGAGGTTCGAGAGGAGACTCTTCACCTCCTCACTCCATCTGTTCCCGCCGCTGCTTTTAACCTGCTGGAGGAATTCAACAACACTCCTCCGTCCTCACGGCTGCTGAGGCCACTGTTAATTTTGTCGGCAAATAATTGTTGTCAAAGGCTGGGTGAAACCCGGCAGCTGCAATACATCCATTTGTCCAGTAGGACAGAAATATAGACCTATTTTAACATGAGGGAAAACAGAGACACCATAAGGTGGAACTAACATGACGAAGTGTCATTCTGAGATTTATTTTAGTTCGTAACCTGGTTAATCTCTGAGGTTAAATTAATCACAGCCTCTGGTCAACATTTTACTACGTCTAACTATCTATATATATAAATATATACATGAAATAAATAATAGTATGCAATATTACTGTTCAATAAAACACACATTTGCTATTAAATGTTTATCATAATATCATTTCATAACACTGAACAGGACGATATAAAAGTGCTATCTTATAAACACAGTCAAGAATTAATTTCACTTAAATAATGAAATAATTTAGATTTACTGATTGACTTAAAAACTAAACCAAAAGTTCAAAATGTTCTCCTTAAAATTGTGTAACTTTAATCTCAAAGACTGAGGCTAAGAGCTGATCAAAACAACTAGCCAGCTAGCACGCTAACTAGCTTAGCAATAACGAGTCAAGTCCCTGACTACAGATCTCTCTCAGCAGCAGGAGCACACATACACGCTAACACACAACAACAACAACAGCAACAACTCATAGACATTTTTAAGAAGAAGAGTCTTTTCTTGAATCTTCTTAAAACTGTCTATGGGTTGTTGTTGTTGTTGTTGGCTAGCACGCTAACTAGCTTAGCAATAACGAGTCAAGTCCCTGACTACAGCTCTCTCTCAGCAGCAGGAGCACACATACACGCTAACACACAACAACAACAACAGCAACAACTCATAGACATTTTTAAGAAGAAGAGTCTTTTCTTGAATCTTCTTAAAACTGTCTATGGGTTGTTGTTGTTGTTGTTGTTGTTTTTGCTTTATTTCTGGGACCCAAAACCTAAAAAACCCAGACGGTGGTGGAGTCGTCTGTTGTCACTGGAGGACGTGACGGCAGACACACACACACACACACACACATACAAACAATCCTGACAATAGGAAAGGTCGGAGTGTTACATCACAGGAAGGTGTGAAATGGGGGGAATAAATGGGGCAAGTAACAGATGCTGTACACACACACACACACACACACTTTCACAGACACGTATGTAAATCTGTCTGCAGCAGCAGAGCAGCTCTCAGGGAAAAGCCCCGTTCACAGCTGAGAAGAAGAAGAAAGGGAGAAGGTGACAAGGAAGTGCAAAGAAAGTGTGGCA